GGGTGATACTGCTCATTTTGCTACACATGTACCCAATCAAAATCAAAATTTTCGAGGACATGGACGTGGTGATTATTTTGCTCATCATAGACGTGGTGAGCACTCAAATGGTCGTGGATGAGGGTATGCTCAAAATCCTGGTCGTGGTCAAAATTTTAAGGGAAATCGCTACATGGGAAAATGTCAAATCTGTCGTGCATAAGGACATAACACATTCAAATGTCGCTTTCGATTTGATCAGGCTTATACTTCGAGACCCGTACAGCAGTCCATTGCAGCCATGAATATTAACAATTCAAGCTCTTCCCCAGTTGCTCAATCATCCACTGCTCCATTTCCATATGATTCATTTTGGCACCCGGATACGGGTGCAACTAGTCATATGACAAGAGACATGTCTATTCTTCAACTGTCAACAGACTACTCTGTTTCAGATATAGTTATTGTTGGAAATGGTGTGGGTCTTCCTATTTCTCATATTTAGTAATATCTATTTTCACAATTTTGATTCAAAATTTGACCAGTACAAACACCACAAACATAATCTATTATATGTGGCACAATTCACTAAGGACAATAATTGTTCATTTTGCTTTTTCCCATGGTATTATTGTGTTAAGGATTTGACAGAGGGGAAAATTCTTCTCACAGGACCGGTCAAGGATAATCTTTATCCACTCCATCTCTCATCCAGAGGCCTCCAACAGAAAGATTGTATTGTTTCCACAAGATCAACATCCATTAGTGCAAAGGCTACCTCTGAAGTCTGACATAATCGCTTAAGGCATGCAGGATTTAAGATGAGTGTTTCTCTTTCTTCAAATAAATGTTGAGATGTTTCTGGTAATTTAAATAAAAGTTGTTTGTCCTGCTTGTCAATTGGTAAAGAGTAAGCAATTACTTTTGATTTATCTACTCACCATTCCCCGCACCCATTTTATCTAATTCATTGAGATATTTGGGGGCCTGCACAAGTTTCGTCTACTGCTATTATATCATATTTATTGATGATTTCAGTGATGTGTGGCTTTACCCTATGAAAGCTAAAAGTGACGGTCCAAATTGCTTTCTTCATTTTAAAAGGATGATGAAAAATTTATTATCGACCAAGATCAAATATTTTCAAAGTGATGGTGCTTTAAAGTTAACCAATGGAGTGTTTAAAACTATACTTGATGAATGTGGTATTATTTCACAGATTTCATGTCCTCACACTCAACAGCAGAATGGTGTTTCTGAGCATAAGCATTGACATATTACTGAGATTAGCTTATCCTTGATGTTTCACAGTTCTATCCCCAAGCAATTTTAGTTAGAAGCTTTCAACACTGCAATTTTCCTTATCAACCATTTACCAACGCCAATGTTGAACTCTCACTCTCCTCATGAAGTTTTATTTCATGTAAAATTGGATTACAACATACTTCGCACTTTTGGATGCGCTTGTTATCCTTTTTTAGAGACTTACAAGGCAGATAAGTTTAAGCTCAAAGTCGATTATGTGTGCATTCTTGGAGTATAGTGGTCATCACAAGGGATATCGATGCCTGGACATAATCACCAGTAAAGGTGTCCATGGATCAGGATAGCCACAGGTCCAGTTACTCGGTCTGAAAAACATAGGCCCGAAACCAGATAGTTGGTCGAGTCCGAGCCTAATATTCTTAAAAAGAAGGTTTGGGTTTGTCCCCAAATCCATTACCCGGCCCAATAGCCTGCCCATAAAAACCCGTTAAAACCCAACCCAAGAACCCACCCGCCCAACCTAGCCTAGCCCGCTCACCATTCCTATGAAAAATATTAGACGGCTATACCATTGAATTTCAAATTTTGAAATAATTACCCCAATGCTGGAATTTGAAGTTTTAGAAATTTAAATACTATAAATAATATATTTTTTTTTCATGTATTACACATACATGTTTTAAAGGATAGAGTTGTACAAATGATAAATAGACGAGTAGGTGTCAACTTAGTTGAGATGTGCTCATTTTATTGTGATGTAGTTCCTCCCCTATTCAAAAATAAAATTATTCATCATTTATTTTTTATCCATTTTGACTCTACTTTTGATTCAAAAACATAATTTATAAAAATATTAGGTTACAAAAATATTATTATTTTTAAATGAAATTGTCTATGACAAAGCACAAGAGCAAGACTCGATTGACCCGCTCAAAAGTCCCGCCTAATAGGCTCGCAAGTTAGGCTGCGGATAACCTAACCTACCCGAAACTTGGCCAGTCTCAGCCCAGCCCGCCCGATGACTCACCTGAATAAGGTTTGGGCCCACCCTACCCAAGCCTAACTCGAAAAAAAATTTCGCTAGCCTAGCCCATGGACACCCTTAGTTACAGGCCGAGTTTATATATCCCGTCATGTTGTCTTTGATGAATTCAATTTTCCTTTGGTAGACTCAACTGCTACTCTACCAACGTTGGAGTCTCAACAACAATAGGTTTTGTTACGAATTCCCTTTCAACCGACTCTACCTATTTCTAGCTGGGCAATTCCATCCATCTCTTCAACAATCCCAATATATTTCACACCACCTGAATCTCCGAAAGCCTCCTATACCGACGTATCTCCTGTCTCTCTTCTACCTAATTTGGCTGAAAATGAATCTACTCCTATTGAGACTTCTATGGTACCTGTGATAGCTCCTACACCACCACCTCCATCTATTTTCACTCCAATGGTTACACGATTTAAGGATGGCATTGTTAAAGCCAAACAAAGGTTTTTCATGACGACCAAGGACCTTGCTTGAATTAGGGACATCCTCGTATCGGCTAGAACCTTCTACCTATCGGGAGGCCTCTACAGATCAAAAATGGTGTTGCCATGCAAGATGAATTTAATTCTCTGCTTGCCAATACCACTTGATCTCTTGTCCCTCATCATGGAAATATAAATAAAGTTGGCTCCAAATGGCCTTACAAAATTAAAGAAAATCTGATGGTTTGGTGGACCGATACAAAGCACGTCTAATTGCCAAATATTATAATCAACAGGAAGGCGTCGACTTTACCAAAACCTTTAGTCCAGTGGTGAAGTCTGCTACTGATCGCATGGTTATCTCTTTGGCTCTTTCTCGTGATGGATCTATCCGTCAATTGAATGTGAAGAATGTATTTCTTCATGGAGTACTATCTGAGGAAGTTTATATGGAATAGCTACCTGGCTTTCATGACCCTTCTTGTCCTACACATTTTGTCATCTTCATAGGACTATTTATGGTCTTAAGTAAGCTCTACACGCTCAGTTTCAACACTTTAGTGGATTTCTTCGTCAATTTAGTTTTACTTGCAATCGAGCATATTACTCCAGGTTTGTACTTCAATCATCAGTCGGCACTATGGTTCTTCTTCGTTATGTGGATGATATCATCTTAACTGACAGTTCTCCCTCACTTCTTCGATTCTTTATTGATATGCTCCGTACACAGTTTGCCATGAAAAATCTATGGGATTTTATTATTTCTTAAGTATTGACGTAAAATGCACTACTACAGGGCTTCATCTTTCCCAATCGAAGTATACTCTTAACCTACTGTCACGTTCAAGTATGCTTGAAACGAAACCGTGTCCCACCCCTGCCACACCTGATTCGAAGCTTTCCCCCCATGAAGGTGATTCCTTGTCAGACCCATCCTTTTATCGCCAAATTGTGGGAGCTCTTCAATATCTTACCATGACTCACCCTGATATTACCTATGTTGTCAATCAAGCATGTCAATTCATACATTCTCCGACCACAACTCATCTTGCTATTGTCACAAGGATTCTTCGCTATATTAAAGGTACAATTGATTTGGGCCTTCACCTTCAGTCTGGCCCTCTCTTACAATCAATGCTTTCTCTAATGCTAATTGGGCTAGATGCCCTAACTTTCACCGGGTTTTGCATCTTTCTTGGCTCTAATCTTATTTCCTGGTCTTGCAAAAAGCAACTCACAGTAGCCCAATCTAGTGCTGAAGTAGAGTACAGTGCCCTTACTTGTGCAATTGCTGAAGTTATTTGGCTTCGTTATCTCTTTCAATAACTTTGTGTCTCCACTTTGACACCTTGTTCTCTTCATTGTGATAATGCAAGTGCAACTTACATGACTGCTAATCCAGTGTTCCATGCTCGAACAAAGCATATTAAAATGGACTATCATTTTGTTCACAAACTGGTAGCGATAGGAACCCTTCAGGTGCAATTTATTCATACAGATCATCAAATAGTTGATATCTTCACAAAAGGTCTCACCACTTCTCGGTTTCTTCATCTTCAAGATAAACTGATGTTGCGTCTCCTCTTCATCAGTTTGGGGGGGAGTGCTAAGTAAATAGAAGATCTCACTCATCCAATTAGGGGGATTGATTCACTCGTGAATATTGCAGCCTATACCAAGGATTTGATTCCTATAATCTTGTATTGGGTTTTGATTCTTTCCATGTACAAATATTCTAGAATAGTCTTCTTATACTATATATACTTGTATATTCATATCAATAAAATATTCAAGACTAGAAAGTCTTCTTCCTTTGCTGTTCCAATAAAGAATGTAGTTCTATTTGTTTTTGTCGTCGTATGAACCCCCCCCCCCCCCCCCCTGGGGGGATGCCCCTCTTTTCCTTTTTGAACTCATGGCCAATTACCCAGGATTATCCATACAACATCCAGCAATTTACACTGCCCATAAAACAAACAAATGTCACCAAAATACCATGAGGAGGAGTTTCTATATGTATATATGTTTCTCATCGATGCATTTACATGATATTAACCCCAACATGCTTTTACATGAAGGAGCTTATATATCTTTCTCATGCATGCTTTTACATGATATAAACCCCAACATATAACACGGTGCTCCACATTATGAAATATATTCAAATATATTTCTATAATATTTCCTTAACCTCACTTAGGGCAACTATCTCAATCTTGACTTATCTTAGAAGGCAATCCAACTTCCAAACCCAATAAAGAACTCGTTCAATATTAAACTACCTGTAACCGTCGATGATACACTGCCACTTCTGGAATCTTCAAGATATGAAAAGCTCACTGAACTACAACAATAACCAAGCCCAATCTCAAAACCTTATTTAATCATTTTTTTAAAAAAAAATATTCCCTCAAAATGGAACTTACCCCAAAGTCAATTCTCCTATTGCTCCAATTCCATAGTAAATCCAACACAAAAAAACCCCAAATATCCACGCACACATATCTAAATGCAACCCATTAAAGAACAATAATCGAACAACTTATTACAATTAACAAAGATAATACAATTCATACACAATCCATCAAAGAACCATACCTGCAGACCACGTTTCCAAGATTCACCACACAAGCCCAAGGCGTTATCGCGGCAAGAATGAACAGTCTCGAACTGATCCACATCAAGTTTCTTGTTAATGAACCCAACCTGAAAATATATATTATCCGAGGGAGGCAAATCGACTTTGATCTGATCAACATCGAACCATAAGAAGAATCTTTGGACTTGAATACCCTTCAAATCACTGATCGACCCGATGTCGAGCACACCCGTAATTTCCTTTTCGTAGTAGACCAAGTACTCGAACTGTACGTAACATGGCTTTTCAAGCTCGACAACAAAGCTTCCGTCTGAGGAGAGAGAGTATGACTTGACGGAGTCCGGCAAGAGGCCACTAGGGAGGCCAAATTTAGGAAGGATTTCGTAGACCGTTATGTTATCCTCCGAAGAAACTGCGAGGATCAGCATAGAGAAGAGGAGAAGACCCAGTTGGGGTTTTAGGTTGAGAGCCATGGCTTTTAGGCGGCTTGTTCAGAGAGTGAAAGATTTGGGTTTAGAAACGTAAGATATAGGAGGGAGGGAGAGAGAGAGAGACGAGGCAGGTTCCTGGAAGTTGGAGAATTGGGTTGAGGACAAGGTCACAAACAGGAGTGAGTTTGTCTATGTTCCGACCTTGGGATGGAGGTAGCTTCATTTGAAAAAAGAGTTTTGGTCTGTTGGATGTGGAGAAAAGAATTTGCCATTCATTGATGGCAATAGTTTAGGAGGGGACAATAAGAGGTCGGTGGAATTATCCCACCGAGCATCTTCGACAAATAATATAAAATATACAAAATTTTTAAATTTTAATTATTTGGTCTAAAAATTTCATTCCACCGGATTATATTTAAAACATCTAAAATAATATTTCATTATAGTGACACATAGGAAGCACAAATACGGATACGTGAGATTGATACGATACGATACAAATACGGTGATACGACAAAATTTAAAAAAATAGGATACAGATATGACCAGGATACGTCTATAATAAAATATATTTGATATTTTACTATTATTTAACGACTTAGAAATTATATTTTTTCAATAATTTTTTAACATTAGTAAATAAAATTATGAATTTTTACCATGAAAAGAATGTAATATCGTCTCATTATGATATGTTCACAAAATAATCATGACCAATTGAAGAAATCATAACCACATTTAACTAGTTGATTTTGCAAGTATTTATTTTTAAAAGTATAGTGTAAGTGACTTATTTTTTTATGTTCTCTTAACATTTAATAATAGATAATACTTAAAAAACACTCGTATCTTTAAAATCAAATAGAATTTTATTGATGTTTTATATTGTATGTGAACTCCAAAGAAGGTGTCTAGCTTAAAATTGAAAATTGTATATCTTACTCCATGTTTAGAAATATCCACGAAGTATTCACATATTTTATTAATTATTAGATACGAATGATGCGTATCCGATACGTATCATCGAGTATCTGACGAGTATTGTATCTGATCCGATACGGTATCCGATACGGGTACGTCGGCCTTAACGAAGTATCCGTGCTTCATAGAGTGGCACTCTATAAAAGATATGTAAAAAAATTTTATAATATGTTTCTCTCTCTTCCTCTCCATTCTTCCATTTTATCTTTTCCTCTCTTTTCTTCAATTCTCTCTCTTTCTCTCTTTCACTATTCCGCAAAAAAATAATACAAAAGGAATGAGAAATACTATTTAAAAAGAATAATTACAAATATAAAAAATCTATTGAAGTGTGTATTAAAAAATTACGTAGCTAAAATAGCTTTTGTTAGACATTTTAAACATTGATAAAAAAGGGGTTTATCCAACCTACTATTTTTTATTCCCAAAAAAAAAACCCTACTATTTTTTATGATAAAAAATCTATTATTTTTTCATTTTTCCTATTATTTTTTTGTTTTTATGTTGGTTTTTGCTTGGAAAGGCCAGGGAAGTAGGGTTTTGATAATTAAAAAAAGAGTAAAATACAATAACATTATTTATTATAGAATGGATTTGTTAATTATGACGATACGTGAATAAGAATTTTAACCAAATACGAGCTCGAGAAGCGAGATTAGACAAGGAGCTTAGGCGAGGAGCTTAGAGCTCTGAAGTCCAATTCCCGAGCTCCTCTTCTATGAGAAATCAGAGGAGCCAAGGAAAGAATAGCTGGTCAGTAAGAAGAGTCCACAGAACAGCTAAAGGGCAGTGATCAAGGCGTGAAACTCTCAACCACATGAGATCTCCTCCTAAAATCAAGGAAAGTCCTGTGGATGAAGAGCAAGGATCTTGCTGCAGATCCCTTAGAGATACAAATTGTGCTATAAATACTGAATAGTGCCTCCTTGAGATGCGAGAAAAACCTAATACCATCAGAAATACTTTGTAAGTCATATTAACCATCAATATAAGAAAAGGGAAAAGAGCCTCCATTAAAGAATGGATTAGTAGAGCTCTCGAGCCGGTGAATCACTATATCTTTATTGTATAAACTACCCCAATCCCTCAGCAATACTTCTCATGATCATTGTGAGCCTTGTGGCTCAGATCCAAGCTGTCAAGCATAATTCATACCTTCTGCTCATCCACGCTAATTTACACCATCAAATTACATATCCAAAGTTTTCAATTTGTGTTTGCACGGGCTTGATTTCCACAACCAATGAGGAGTTGATTGCTGATGAATGGTTTATGAGGCTAGCAACACAAGAACACATGTTAGAGGACTGTTAGAAATGTCTTCGGTGTATTCCTCCTGATGCTTAAGTGAGTATGTGACCCCAAAAAAAAAAAAAAGAAATTCAACGTATTGAAGTGGATAGTCACTGTGTATTTCTTAGAGCATACCTAGAATCAAAGACTCTGTTTGAATTGTATCTCCAAAAATATGTTTTTGAGAAAAAAATTAGGAAAGTGTGTTTTAATGTTTTTTTGTCGTAAAACTTGTTTGGTTATGTGAGTCTTAAAACAATTTTAAAAAAACGAAAAAAGAGTAAGACTTATTTGGATAATAACTTTAAAAATAATAAAAATATAAGATGTTGTTTGAATTAATGGTTTCATTAAAAAAAATAAAAATTCTACATGTCAAACTTAGCGAAATTAACATAATAGCATCTAATAGTAAATAAAACTCAGTTGTACACAATATCATAATACAAATTCTAATATAATATAAACCATAGTTCTTACATAAGAAAAGTCTTTCATTATCCTACTTGCACTAATTTCTACATATTCCCTACAATTGCAATTGTATCCCTTAGCTCGAAGATAGCATTTGACTCGTGATCATTATCAAAACTCATAAAGCTAATTGAAGGATATCATTTACTAAAGATGTTTTGATTGAAATATGTTTAAAAGATAGGTTGGGAGAGTGATTAAGTAGTGTAGAACCACCCTAAATTTCAAGCAATAGAAGATTGGGAGAATTACATCTAGATCTCATGAGGTTTGTCACTTAATCACTTCGATCCCCTGATATTTAAAATATTACACACAAACCCCTAAAATTTGTATGCGCGTAACACTTAGACCCTAATGTAAATATATCTATTAATAAATTATACTTAAACCCCTCTGAAGTTTAGGGATATAATACTTAGATTTTTTAAATTTAAAAAATTATACTTAGACAAAAAATACTCTAATAAAAAATAGAATAAAAAATATTTTAAATATTACAATCAAAATTCATGTTCTATTGTATTATTTATTAAAATAAAAAATTTAATTTTTTCTTAAAAATCGTAATGAGTATACAATTATATTATCTATTGGAATAAAACTAAATAATAAACAAGGGATCTAAGTCATTCATAATAGAACATGAATTTTATAACCAAAATTCATGTTCTATTATGTTATTTATTGAAATAAAATCAAAAATAAAAAACTAAGTTTTTTTAAAGGAATTATAAATTAGTATATAATTATATTATCTATTAGAATAAAACTAAAAAAATAAATAAGGGGTCAAACTGTAATGTACATAATATATTTGAGCTTTAGTTGGAGTAGTTTGGTATTTTAAACGACCAAATTGAATTCCAATAGACAATTTGTATACTAATTACAATTTTTAAAAAAAAATTAAATTTTGATTTTTGATTTTATTTCAATAAATGATACAAAAGAACATAAATTTTAATTGTAAAATTAAAATATTTGATATTTTATCTTTGATTGAAGTATTTTTGGTCTAAATATAACATTTTAAATTTAAGAGATCTAAGTATTATATATCAACAAACTTCAGAGAGGTTTTAGTGTAATTTATTAACAGATATATTTACATCAAGGGTTTAAGTGTTATGCGCATACAAATCTCAAAGGGTCTGTGTGTAATATTTCAACTGTCAAAGAGGTCTAAAGGATTAAGAGACAAACCTCAAAAGATCTGAGTGTAATTCTCCCTAAAAAATTTTGGTGCCATGACAAATGACAATACTTGGCCAGAGGTTATGCAAAATGAACAAACACGTTGAAATATATTTTGATCTAACATAAATAGACCAGATATAATATATATTCAAAGGTAAAGTGAAAAAATCATAACCAAATCTAAATAAAGCTAACCTATAACATATCTAGGAAACCACAAGCAAAAAAACACCAAAATCTAACATAAAAATCACAGTATAAGATAGATATGTGGGTGACCTTCGTCTCGTTGGTGAAATCTCTGATAACAGCTACCAGTTTTTGAGATGACACCTTTAAGCCACCAGAGAAGATGAATCTTGTTGTCGCTAGAGAAGAAGAACTCCAGTCACCGAAGCTGAACCCTTCCCGTCGCCGAAGATGAGTAAGTTTGTAAAATCCGGTAAATTTAAATTTTTGTAAATAAGGGCAAAATGGTAATTTTGTCACTACAGTACGGGTTGGAGACCTGAATTTTTCTAGATCTCGGATAGCGAAACGGACCTCACTGTTGGATTCGTCTCACGAAATCTAGTTACCATGTCAAATTTAATCGAATTTCGAGATAGTCAAATTTTTTACGTTTTACGAGGTGACCGAGTCTCGGGTGACAAAAAAAATGGGATTTTCAATAAAATTTTGAAATTTGGGAAATAATTAAAGATAAATTAAAATAAAATTAATTTGAACTTGAACCGGGATGAAATTTAATCATTTTGGGATGAAAACGGACCCGAAAACAAAAGGGTCATGTGGCGCGTTGTGGGCCAAGTGTCCTAAGAGTATAAATACGGGAAAAAATCAGATTTTTTCCCCATTTCTTTAGCCGTTTAACGTGAGAAGGGAAGAGGGGGAAAAAGGGAGGAGATCTCCACTTCTCTCTACGATCTACAACTCCACGGTACTCAAATCCACTCGGGGTAAGAACAAAAGTTATTCTCCTCGTCGAGGGCTACGCGACCACACTAAAAACAATGGATTTCACTGAAGGTTAAAAAATGATATTTTGAAAAAGTGAGGATTCAAGGTTGTTTTGAGTTCTTGGGGCTTCCCAA